CTGTAGTCCCAGCTACTCGGGAGGCTGAGGCAGGAGGATCGCTTGAGCCCAGGAGTTTGAGGTTGCTGTGAGCTAGGCTGACGCCACGGTACTCTAGCCCGGGCAACACAGTGAGACTCTGTCTCAAAAAAAAAAAGAAAAGAAAGAAAGTTAATAGCCTTCTCACACATGGGCACAGAGAGATGTAAGGGTCACAGGAAATCAAGAAGTGGGGAGGGGTAAAAATCCACCCGTCAGGTACAATGAATACTATGCGGGCGATGGGCACATGAAAAGCCCCAACTTAAGCATTATACGAGGTATCCGTGTAACAAAAACATTTGTGCTCCCGTAACATTTTGAAATTTTTAAAAAAGTTAACAGCCTTTTAGGAAAAGTGTAAGTAATGGGTATGTTTGTACCACACACATTCATTCAACAACTGTTTACTGCGTGGTCACTCTGTGCCAGTGCCGCCCTGCTGGAGGTCTTGCAGCGAAGAAGACCGGCCTGGTCCCCAATCTTGCGCTTACTGTGCAGTGAGCATGGCAAACACTGCCAAAGCCACCAGACAAGAAACGCACAATAACTTATCCAAGGAAGGGCAAAGTGTGCTATAGGAGTGAAAAATAGGGGACACTGGCGCTTGCCCCCTTGGGCCAAGGACAGCTCTGAGCAGAGGAAAAGACCACTGAGGTCAGTAGGTGTTCACTCACTAGGCCCAGAGCGGGAAGACTGAAGTCAGGGGCAGGACACAGCCCCAGGCTCTAGGAAGAGAAGCCCAGCAAATTCCAGGGGCTGAGAGAAGGACAGAGGGCTGGCACAGAGAGCTGGAGGGCGTGGCCCAGGTGAGTGGGGACCACTCCACGCCAGCCTCAGGGACACGCTAAAGGATTGAGCCTTATTCTTAAAAGCGGCAACAAGCCATAGAAGGGTGTAAACAAGGACACTATTGATCTGATCTGCATTTTGAAAAGATGCTCTTGGTGCATAAGCTGGCGTTAAATGTGGATCTTTACAATCCTAGTGCTGGATTTGCCAGATCCAAACGGGATTCTTCAACCTTTTACATTAGATGCGTGCTTGTGTTGAACTGCTAGGATGCCACTGATCTTGAGCCACAACTGCACAGAGCTATTAGGGATGATCGGTCTGATATTAGAAGCAGGGGTGAGGATTTACAACCCCGGGGATTGCTACCTCTGAACTCCTCCAACGTTCCTCCTGGCTCTCTAAGTATCTACCTGTGCATTAGCTGCCACGGGAAACGTTTCATGGCACGCTGGCTTTGCCGAGCCACCTAGCACAGCTGGCATGGTCATTGGTGTAGCACACTCTCCCTCTCCCTCACTGCCTCCACTTAGGCAAAGCTTGATGGAGGTTGAAACTGGGGGCCCTCCACACACAAAATTCAGCCTCCCAGACCGTCTGGCCCCTCTGCACCCCTGATCGATCCGCCAGCGTGGAAAACTGCAAGCTGGCTGAATCTCCGCAACACAGGGAGTGTGGATGCTTCATGTACTTCGGCTGCTTCCCTTCTTCCTCGGGAATGGTGAAATGCTGCAAGTTCCTTATTTAAGGTTTCTCTATGTACAGAAGAATGGGCAACAATTGCAAAAGCATTCGTCAAAATAATAAGACTCTTATTTCCCCTGAGCGAATGGCTCCAAAAACTGACTCTGCTTCAAACGTGACAAGCAGCGCCAGGACTCGACGTTATGTGGTGATGACGACTACCAAAGGCCACTGCTGCCCCCTGCTGGGACTAGGCAGCCATGGTCTCATAATCCACGGCTTGCTTCCTCATCCTGCCTCTCCAGACAGTATGGAATTCCCAGTAAATACTAACTTCCTAATTTTATAAAGCATGGATTCAAATTAAAGTTACTTGTCTCCAAAAAGCTAACT